CAGCGACATGTGCAGCATATGCCGCATGTACAAACACTCTGGTGCCCAATCGGAAATTCTTGCTCTGAAATTCCATTGCTGTGATCCAGGGAAGTCTGCAAACAGCCTGATCTGACCTAAAGAGCTTTTGGGCAGCAGAGATTTCACACGTCAACTTTGATTTGCCCATTCGGCCCTCACTGGATGATTTCCCTTGCACTGTTAAAAGATGAGCCAATATCACCCAAGTAGTTCTGTTCAGCATACACCACCTCAGTTTCTGCAATCACTTAAATACAGGCATCTGTCCAAATAAACTCCAAATGCTCTGCAGCAGCAAACAAAAGCTCTTTTAGTGACGTGCAGCTCTCAGGGACTGAGTTTTATCAGCGTGTTTTTCGGAAATGTATCTTGAGTATGGGGGCAAGGCAACCAACCCATTGCTTTAGCATCAGTTGGTGATACTAAATAACTTCTGCACTCACAGAGTTGATTATTTGATTTGATGGCTGCTAATTGTCATCACTGAAATGTTCAGTATTTTATGAGATCCAGTGGATAATAGATTAGACATCTCTTTATTGGAGTTGCATTCATGTAAATTTTTAAATTTGTGATTTGGACTTAAAACCGTAAAGTTTAGGATGTAAAAAAAAAAAAGTTGTGTCATCTCAGTTTGTAAAGTGTCAAGCTTGCGATAATAAAAGTAACATTTTTGACACATACACTGTGAAAGTATAAAGATATTCCAGAGAGACCCAAGTGAGGAAAAGCTAAAAGAAAAAAACAAATAAGATCTGCAGTTAATTAGCATGATCTGTGCAAGCCAAGTGTATTCTGTTTACACTTTAGCATTTCTGCTTGACTTCATACCGTATGTAAGGTGGTTAAATGGGGACTTTCAGCCTGTGAAGACAGTTGCATGCTCTGGGTCTGAAAGTCAGAAAGTCTGCAAAATGATGCTACATCCAATTAGTATTATTTTACCTTCAGCTTATAGAAAGAGTTCAAAAACAAAATGACACACATGGTGGTTGTGAAGTTTATCTGAAAGGGTGGGCTCAGGTTGCATTGCAGGAAATGATCCCACAATGGAAGCCACATCTTGAAAGTTTCTTTGGCCTGATCCATATAAGAAATAAAATTTCAAGATGATGTTTTATTGTGGTTATGGTTTTATCTATTTTAATTTTAATTTCCCATAATTCTAACCCTAGCTTTACGCCAAAGAACATAAAAAACAAGTTATAGAAACATCTGTTTTTATTTTGATCTGATATTCTCATTATTTAGTGCAGATTAATGCATGTTAAAACAGATGAAAATAGACCTTTTTTCCCCAAATCAAACCGTGTTCTCATTCATAACATTAAAAAGTTATCAGCAGGCTAAAAGCAGTAGCTGCTGCAATTTCCCCTTTTTTTCCTTCCTTCGGGATACTGATATCGCTTTGGTCGTTTTAGCTATTTAATCATGTATTCAGGGTGTAGATTGATGACTTTGATAGGTGTGCTTTGCTAAATTATAAAAAGCAAGCATTCAAAGCAGAGTCATTAATCACCCGTGAAGGCTGACACGTTTTGGAATTCATATCAGTTTAACAATCAAAACAAAGATCACACTGTGAGACTGCTAAAGGAAATGTAGTTCATGTGAGACCCCTATGCTAAGTTGGACTGAGGCACAAAATGACCATCAACAGCTATGATAAAGGTTGAGAAATGTTCCTTTTACTAGAATGAAAGTGGTCACATAAAACTATGTGTTGTATCATTTGATCCTCTAATTTTCTTGTGAAAAGTCTAAACTGTACCTTACGGTTTACTCAAGCTATACAGATGCATTGTGTCTGACTCAAGGCATCTGCATACTCTGCAAAAAACAACTTTCTACCACAGCTGCACATGATACATAACATTACCATCACAAGCCAATTTGTAATTCTCATTACCTAGAATGCCCTCCCATTGGACTGGAGTCATTGAAGATTGATGATTTTCAGCTTCATGCATCATCTACCAAACGCTATGGCCTTGGTGCACACAGAGGTCGCCTTAACATTCAGGTGAGACGGAAATGTAAAGTGTTGGCGTAACAGACTTACCAGAAATGTTGGGACTTGTATTATACCCTGGGCTATCTCGTCTTTCCTCGGAAGCTTTAACATTTTGTGAAGGCATTTTTTTTTCCGGCTCCATATTATAAATACAAAAAAATAAGATTGAAAGATAGTATTATTTTTTTATCCATATTTACGCTGCATGCAACGATGTGAGCTGTGATAACTTGGCTTTTCCCTTGTAAGATTGAATGACATTATCTTCTTGTTTCAGCTCACTGAATATTTTAATACCCCAAAGCTAACTAAACAGTGAAAGTAATAGTGTTACCATCAAACTAGGGGCACATCCCCAGACCTAATAAAAAAGAACTGGCATCTGGGAGAAGAGAAGTGTTTCCTGTTAGTGCAAGCTTTGCTTTGAGTGCATTAGCCTGCATGCAGTGTGCAGCTAGCCTAACATTCTGCAAGCTCCACCGCCCCAAATCTATCTGCACAATTAATGACACGCACAAATACACTTAATTCACTCAAGACGACATTAAATGGCAAACTACAAAACAAAGGATTTGTTGTGTGTGTGTGTGTGTGTGTGTGTGTGTGTGTGGGTGTGTGCGCGTGGGTGTGTAAGCGCAGACATGATAGAAAGACAGATGGTGTCAAGAGAATAAGGAGGACCACAAAAAGCAGATGTCTGTTGACTCAGGCCTGTGCTCAGTGTTATATGTTGTTTAGATGAAAGATACTAAAAGAGCTGGGATTCATTTAAATATACATAAAACACTACTATAAGATAACTATAAATAACCCTAACCCCTAACTATAGTTTGAAAGACATACATTAGAAGGAAAATCTATGGAGGAACAAAATTGAAAGAAAGCAAAACCAGGAAAAGTAAGCCCTATATAAATTTTGTATCTGTAATACATGTAATGTTTCAAAACGGAGTCTCCATCTGGTAGCAGAACATACTGTATAAAGTGATGTGCCATCTTTCTTTTATTCTACTAAATAGTTCATGAAAAGGTCTCACTGTCCGCACCTGGACAAGACACGTGATACGGGAGTCAATAATTTTTTCCGTAGCCAGTGCATTTCATCTTTCATTAAAATATCTCGAGACACCCTTCTAACTGGCTGACAAACAGAACATAAAAGAGACTACAAATGTCATCTATGAACCAGGTGTTTAGTTCAAATAAGCCAAATATTCTTACGGCTCGAATACTGTGCAAAACTCTTGAGTCCCTCTATATTTCATTATGTTATTCCAGTAAAATGCAGCAAAACATGCAGAGATAAATAGAAGTGAAAACAGAGCTTCATTGGTACAAAAATACTATTTCATATAGGCCAAGCTGTGATATCTTTGGCACTTTTTGCTGCTTTGACGAAAGAAATTAGTGTTTAGTAACAAAGTGCCTAAAAATACAATTTAAAATTGGTTCTTTCCTAAGTTGTCTGTTATGTGTAGACACAACACTGGTTCATGCCTGAGTTAGGTGTCTTTTTTATTCTTTAGTAATTTGTCGGTCAGTGTTAACTGCCTTAGCATACAAGAACAAAAAATATTTTCTGAAAATGTCAGGGTCGAGGAAAATGTTGGCTGAAAGAAAGCCTGGAGAACTATAATGAACACAACTTAAAAAACTGCAACAAAGTCTCACTCTGTGGAAGGAAAATATAAAGAAATGTGGAGTGACTCATTTTTACACACTAGTATAAATTAAAGAAGCATTTAAAGACATTCACATGTCTGTTGGATTTCATAAGTTAATGCATCTTCCCTTTCCTTGCCTAACCCCTTTGTAACTGGAATTAGGATCAGCTGTTGAATTTATACTATGGCCTTTAACATCCTAATCTTTCTGATTAAAGCACGTGAAAGTCATGGTAAGGAGGAAATGACTCCATGCCCTTAACATCTGTAGTGAAGTATCTCATTCTAATGTTTAAATTTAGATGATAAAAATAAACAGTCAAGCCTGTAAGCATGCAATATGAAAATGAATGTTCGTACTCTGAGCCAGTGTGTTGGCTGGTACAGCACAGGCTTTACAGAGTAGCATTTGATACCTTATAATCAGTGCAACATTTTCAGCTATTGCACCAGGTTCGTACATCATACTAAAAGAGTTACACAAAAACAGAAATGGTGGGATTTGGAAAGAGTTGCAGGAGAGGAAGAACAGTTTTCAACACTAAGCCCTGTTTTATAGACGTGCTCATCCCTATAACTCTGCTTCACTGGCTCTGTTTTTTTCTCTTGTTCGCTCTTTTTATGTGACAGGAAAAAAGAGTAGGCTTGTACGTACATAGTAAAATTTATAGTTAATACACCTTATTTCAGAAGATATTCTTCACACTTCACTGTCTCCATTATAAAACACTTCAATAGTAAGTTTTAATTAGAATTTTATAAAAGAAAAAATGTTCCCAGTCAGTGTGTTGGACCATATTCAGACTGTAAGCGCACGTGGAATTAAATTGGCTTTTTCTGACCTGCAGGCTGGCCTTTATGAAGATGACCTCTATGACGGGGCCTGGTGTGCTGGGAGAGATGACACTCTACAGTGGTTTGAGGTGGATGCCAGGAGGCTGACAAAGTTCACTGGGGTCATCACACAAGGCAGGAGCTCCCTCTGGTCGTGAGTAGGAACCCAGCAGACATGTATGGAGAGTTGCAGATGGTTGCACAGTGAGGATCTAGATTGTTCTTGTCCATAAAACATAACAGGATAAATATGTGGGATGGATTTTATGCAGGCTATTGGAACCTGGTTTGATATATTTGTGAAAATAATTCTAAAGAAAATCTGCAAGGAGATTTATAACTGAATATCAAGCGCAGTGTTATGTAAAGTTTATAAATGCAGGCAATCTTTGCATTAACCACTTACCTTGATTAAGTTGTGTTTTATACAACAGGGAGATAAAATCAAGACTGAAAACATTATTATGCAACCATTTACCTGAACTTTGAAAAGAGAAACTTGAATAATTTTCCATCAAGAGTAAATATTGAGAATCCTTTTGCTTTGCAAATGTTATTTCTCTGCTCTTATGCAGTTACTGTTCAGTACAGTATGGCATTATACTGTTTCAGTATGAATCTGTAAATCTCGCATGGCAGAGTCACAGATTTAGCTTTGCCACTCATGGAGCCGCGTCCTTAACGTTGCTAATACAAACTCAAGCACAGTAAATGGTCATAAAACAGTTTACATATTGCACGAGTTTCAAAATGACTCTCCGTAATAAAACTGAACGTAGACAGACATAACCATTCTGAAATTCTTGGATTTTCCCTTGAACCCATCTGGAAAATTTAACTCCACAAACATAAACAAAACAAGCTTTTCAATCTTGTCTACATGGCACCGAACCTTCACTGGTGTTTGGCCTTTTCATGAGGCTTTTCTGATCCCGTCACAGTGGGATTAAGGATTTATGAATATGACTGATTGGAGTGCAGCCTGATTCTTTCATTACTCTTAAAAGGTCACCACGTTTTTAGAAATAACACTTCAGAGGAGAGAGACTGTACAGCCTTATGGACTTGTTGGAGACAGTCAGATGTAGAGGGGAAAAAGAGATGCAACAAGTAGGCATTATTATTTAAAAATGCTTTTAGAAAGAGTGTGCAGCTAAAAGTGTATGTAAAACAAAAACTGCAGCACCATAATGGCTCGGTGGAGTCTTATGTACTTAACTATAAATATCTCCCACCTCCCACTGCTACATCTGAACAACAAGTGTGCCAGGTCTTCTTTGAGTATCCACACATGCGTTTACTCTTAAATTTAGAAACCACCTACAAGTCACTATTGCTTCAATTACTGTGCCGCAGTGTATACTGTTTTTAAAGCCATTTTAAAATCAAATCAGGGTGTTTTCCACAGCACAGAGCAGGAAACAAACACTTCACTGTGGGTAAGAAACCATTTTATCACCCTAGGTGGAGTGAAAGTTATCTAGGTTTGTATCAACTGATTTATGAAACTGCCCCAGCTTTGTTTCAGTCATTTTGTGTGTAAGCATGTGTGTAAGAATGGTAAAAAACATTTCAAACACATTCCACAACACCTTGTCATCTTCATTTTTTGTTATAAATCTGCAACTATACATGTTAGTACATCAAAAGAGCTTTTCCGCTACCAGAGACCCACAAATGTGAAAAAACGATATTTAAACTAGATTTGATTGCATCCCATGTAGCCAAAAAGGTAACAAAATGGGCCAACATTAGACTTAATGATACTATATGTGTTCTACCTTTTCAACCTGGTCAATTTATTACTTACAAACTGACAGCCGTTGTAAAGAAAGCACACACTCTGTCAATTCCAAGGTTTTATATATCAGGACATAACCAAAAATCGTCTGGTACTGTAGCAGCTTCTGAAGTTTTCAAAATGACATAAACATAAATAAACAGATTTCATCATGTCAATATTTTAACAAAAATGAAGCCACAAAAGAGAAGCAGTGCTCTGAAAAACTAAGCACATGCCATGATTTACCAGCTTCTAGGACCACTTTTAGCTGCGTATGTCGAAGTAACTGTTCTGTATCAGTCTGTCACATCATGGAGGCATTTTAGTCCATTCTTCTTTACAACATCATTGTCTTTTTCATGATACAATTGTGGCCAAGCTTTAGCTATTGGACAGATGGGCTCACATTTGCCTCCAGAATACTTTGGTCTACGGGGGAGTTCATGTTTGACTCAATGACTGAGAATTTCCAGGGTTCTGTGGCTGCAAAACAAACCCAGCTCTGTGCTTCACAGCTGGTATGAGGTGTTTGTGCTGATATGCTGTGTGGTTTTTGCCAAATGTGGCATTGTGCATTATGACCAGTCTCCACTTTGGTCTGGTCTGTCCAAAATACATTGTTCCAGAAATCTTGTGGTTTGTTCACATGCAACTTTTTAAACCCAAGTCATGCTGCTGATGTCTTTTTAGAGAGAGGAGGTATTCTCCCACCAGTCTTTTCAAACAAGCCATACTCATTCAAACTTTTTCAATTGTACTGTCATAATCTTTAACTTTTAACATCCTAAACAAGAATTGCAGAGTCTGAGATGTTGTTTTTAGACTTTTTGTTTTTAAAAAGATCTTTGAGCATTGCATGGTCTGACCTTGGGGTGAATTTGTTGGGACATTCAGTCCCAAGAAGATTGGCAGATGTTTTCCACTTGTGAATAATATTTCTAACTGCAGTATGGTGGACTTCACGTTATGTGGAAATGCCCTTATAACCCCTTCCGGACTGATGGACAGCAGTACTTATCTATTAAGCTTAAAAGCCTTAAATAAATTGTTAGAATAAGTGTTAGAGCAATTTTGACAACAAGAAAGTGGAAAACTGGAGGGAACTGAGGACCACATTTGCATTTAAGCGAGAAGGCCAGCAGACTTTCCCCTGCCATCTACCTTTCTCAACCTTCCTCAACAATGTCATTTGAACACTTCAGACCTTTGTACTTATTAAGTGGACTGGGTGGCACAGACTTTGTAGAAAACTGCTATGTAGTCAGAGAGCAAGGTGAGAGACTTTACCAAGTTGTGTTTGTAATTTCCCTTCAATGCTGGTGCAACCTAATGGCACAGAAGACACAGATGCCCGAGACAGAATTTCTCTGCAATTAGCTCTGTAGGGTATGTAACTGTCTGCAGTGCCAGCTCAGGGGCTTCCTTCTATAACAGTGCTTTAATTAACAGAGCTGGGAATTCTTACCAGGCTAGACCAGCTCAGCACTGATGTCTTTATCCAGAAGCATAGGAGGCACAAGGGAGTCACTGCCAACCTACATACTGCAGACTTTGGTTAGAGGTCTGTCTGGTGTTATGGGACATTAAGCCATCTGTGAGTTCTTTATATAGGCATACTTAAAAGGCATTGTACTGAGTGATGTCTCACCTGTCTGTGTTCAACATAAAGTACCTCTAAAGGACATGGCTGGGACATTACTTCTCCTCTGTTCTCATATTTATTAAATTCCTCTTTTTTATTTTTTACATTTCTTTCTGTTTAGTTTGTTTTAGTTTGTGTAAAAATATGTATAACTGAGTTTTTTCAGTTCACCATTTATTTTTCAGTATGTTTATGTTTAATTGCAGGAGTCTGCCTATGTAACAGTCAACATGGCGAGTTTCAAATGTGCAACGTAGCCCGCCAACATCTCCCTAAAGAAAAATTGTGTCTTTACTGGAAGTAATGGCCCCGATTGCTCTATGATAATGCCGTCGAGGCCTGGTTTTAAAAGTTTGTATGGTGTAACTCTAGGAAGGATTAATGCATATTGTCCTCAGTCTTACAGATTTGATGCTCACTGTGATGGATTAAACAGCGTGAGCAAGTTACAAGAGTGCACTAATAGATTGTATTCTTTAAGGAGATTAATAGAGCTCAAGTGATGCCTGGAAAAGCCTGGAAAATAGATTAAAATGACTAAAAGACAGAAGGTTTTCAGACCACAGAGCCCATCTAAATAAGATAACTTCTTAAGCCTGATATTATAATTGAGTGTTTCCCACTAGACCCCCAGTGAATCTGGCACACTGCTTGGTCTAGGCCTGAATGCTCATTTTATTCAACATGATTAATACTCTAAAAAAATCTTGATTTCATAGTTGCAGTGCAGTTTTCTAATGCACTGCCTCAAATGACATTTCTCCCTTATTCTTCCTATAATTTTTAACAGGAGTGATTGGGTCACCTCGTACAAGGTCATGTTTAGCAATGACAGTCATACCTGGATAACACTGAACAATGGCTCAGAAGACTTGGTGAGTAACAATCTAGACATTTATAGTGCTTTATCCACCCCTCATTTCTTTATATTTTGCTTACAAGGAGCCAGACTTTCTTCTGAGGTTCTACAGGCTTTTCTGAATTTCTTTTTTGCATCTGGCCTTTCAGCTGATACATCTGCTTTTTATTAGAAATGGGCTCAGTGGAAGAGTTTCCTGTGAATAAGTCATTCTTAAATAAGGGAAACGGGGATAAAAGACTGAGGTATTTCTAATTACGCAAAAACGGGACTGAAAATCAGTGGCAACAGGACTTCTGGAGTGACAAATCCAATTTGTGGTTCAAATCATCATCGATATGCATGGAGGAGGTCAGGAGAGAGCTACAACAGTGAGTGTCTACTCCAGCTATAAAAGACGGTGGAGACTTGTTTAGAGCTGTATCTCAGTCAGCTGTATTGGCGATCAGTGTTGGTCAAGTTACTTGAAAAAAGTAATCAGTAACTAATTACTGATTACTT